GGGGCTACGGAGAGATGGGTTGACAGGAGCTTCGGTGGGCTATGAGACATGGGCTGACAGGAGCTTTGATCTCCCATCACTTTTCAGGGACCTCACAGGGAGGGAAGAGCCCAATAAATATTTGTTCCTACAGGGTCCTTCCTGTACTTCCTGTTGCCCTAACCCAACTGGAAGCCAAAGGGCCGCAAAACTTGTTAACATCCAGTATGGGTCAGACTCTGGAGGCACAGAGCAAAGCAGAAGGAGGTCGAGAGAGAATCTGGGAGAGTAAGCAAACACGTCCAACACAGGACTAGATCCCTGGCTCCCACATTTAATTTCTAGCTTCATGCCGTAATTAAGAAGCCTCTGAGCCCAATTTTTCCCTCCCTCAATTAGATTTCAAGGCATCTTTATTCTTCTGTCTGCTGACTAGATAGCCTATTGTATTTTCACTTCATAGACTTTGATTGCCTACTTTCCAAACTCCATGATTATTTCAAAAGTGACAAGCCAAAGTGATCATGTAGAAAACCAGTCTGGTATTTAATATCAGACAGACAAGGATGGGTATTCAAATACTCACTGTTGGCATGTTCAATATCTACGGTTTACTTTAACACGCGTGTGCGCGCACACACACACACACATATACACACAGTTTTCCTGGAGCCTACACTAAGAGAACAAAACCTAAAATCCCTCAGTCCCAAGCCAGACTAAAATGCTAGTTCTCCTAAAGTTAACTACATTGACATCTTCTGTGCTAAAATTCATCCAGGGCAGCTGATATGGCTTATGCGACAGGGGCTTGAATCTGGAATGATGCACGGAATTCAAGCTTGGAAACCAGCCAGAATATTTTTTTTTTTTAAAGATTTTATTTATTTGTCAGAGAGAGAGGGAGAGAGAGCGAGCACAGGCAGACAGAATGGCGGGCAGAGGCAGAGGGAGAGGGAGAAGCAGGCTCCCCACAGAGCAAGGAGCCCAATGTGGGACTCGATCCCAGGACGCTAGGATCATGACCTGAGCCGAAGGCAGCTGCTTAACCAACTGAGCCACCCAGGCGTCCCCAGCCAGAATATTTCACCTGCAAAGTTCTTACACTGGGCACTCTCTTCCCAACTCCAACCCAAAGTGTGGGCAGAGAGACCCTGCTCCCCTCCGCCACACCCACCCTCACGTGACCATAATAAAATCCCCCCCCCCCCCCCCCCCCGCGACCCCACTCCCGCCCCAGTTCGGTTTCCCAGGTTAACCATCATCTGATGATATCTAGCCAGAGAAATGTTTTGGTTTTAAACACAAAACTACTTCAAGTCATACATGAGTCGTTTTTCCAACACACAGGCTTATAGGAGTGGATTTTCACTCAGAACTGCATGTCCTTCAGGCTAGCTATTTTGGATACCATATTTTCCAAGTGGAAAAATAATCATGGTCGAGCAAAGCACATGGCCAGGCGCACGCCTCTGGCATCCACCTGTGGGGCGGCCGTGACTGAAGGCAGATGCCCGCCAGCGCCTCAAGACAAGTGAGCCCGAACACGCGGAGACCCCGGAGCCCAGACATTCGATGCTGTCTCTTGATTTGTTCCACTACCTAGACTCAAACCAGAGTTTCTTGAAAGTAATTTAGGAACTCGCCAGGAAAGAGGAGTCATCAGCTCTTTAACGAAGACATCTGTGTCTCTATCTCTATGTCTCTATGGGTAAGCGTATTGCCTATTGCTGGCTCCGGTTACGTTATAGTTCAAGTTAAAGGTCCATGTTTGGTCAAGAGTATCTTTATGGTCAGGATTCTAAATGTCTCCCATGATTATACTTGGTTGGTGTTGAATCGTGTATGTTGTGTTGAATATTCCTTGACATCTACTCTTGGTCTGTAAGTCATGCAGCAAACTTTAGTCAAAAGCAATACAATTCCGGGGCGCCTGGGTGGCTCAGTCGTTAAGCATCTGCCTTCGGCTCAGGTCATGATCCCAGGGTCCTGGGATCAATCCCCACATCAGGCTCCCTGTTTAGCAGGAAGCCTATTTCTCCCTCTCTCATTCCCTCCGCTTGTGTTCCCTCTCTCGCTGTGTCTCTCTCTGTCAAATAAATAAATAAAATCTTAAAAAAAAAAAAAAAGACAATACAATTCTGACTTCCTAGTACACTGGCTGGATTCTCAAGGCATTTTTTTCTTTGTCTATTCATTTGATCCCTTTATTAAGTAATCAGATAAGAAGAATTTTTAGGTCCTACCATGTGCAGTACAATAGGATAAAAAGAAATATCCTACCAGGCACCCAGGAGGGTGCCTGGCAGGAACCGTCTGGTCCAGAGAACCAGTCAGCCTCGGACACTCCCAGCAGAAAGGAGCTGGTGAAGTAAATACCTGACCTCACTACCTTCCCTCTACGTGGCTTGTACCCCATTTTTCTCTACTTATCAACTATTGACAAATTTATTAGCCTCCCTTAACCTTAATTTTTCTTTTTCTTTCTTTCTTTTTTTTTTGCAAATTTGGGGTGGTAGTAAAAAACCTATTCCACTGGGTTGCTGTGAATGTTGCTGATTAAATGAAAATGTAAATCCCTTAGGATACCATTTATAAAAATCATGAAATGAACAATAGCTTCATCCGCTATCCCTCCCTTCCCCCACGCCACTGGGCCAGGCAAAAGCACTTGCAAACAGGCTAGGAATCGCAGAACTTTATCCTTCAAAATGGTCCTAGCTGTCATAGCCCCTCCCTTCTGTGTATTATTCCCATTCAAGGCCCTGTTGCATAAGCTGCGGGATTTGAGCCTCAGATGCTAGAGAGCTTTGTGACTTTGAACAAATACATCAACTTATGTTGGACCTCAACAGCTCTACGAAATGAGAACGTTAACACCTGGCCAGACCTCTCTGGGGGAGGGGCGAGGGGAGGACGGGGGCTCGTGGACACCACGTGACGGCTCTGTCGTGCTCCCCCTTACTGGCCATACTTCAGCTCTTCTCCACCTGACGGCACCCTCGTTTCTTTGAATGGTTTTTCGCCTGAAAATATTAAAGGACAGGGAATATTTTATGATGGAAACCGGTGACAAAAAATGCCTAACAAAAAGCGACAGCAGGCGAGAGTCTTCCAGACGATAGGCAACAAGGAAAAGGTTCTGACTTTGAGAGTAAGCACCCAGGATGATGGGGACGTGGTCCCAATATTACCAAGGAAATAGCATATGCCTTCCTGAGAGTGTGGCTGATTTGGGATCCCGCTAAAAAGTTTAAGTGAGAAATAATAATAGAAAACAGGGCCTTCTGCAAGTTTTGAAGCCAGAGAAGGAACTTAAAAGTGTCTTCCCCTTGGGGCGCCTGGGTGGCTCAGTGGGTTAAAGCCTCTGCCTTCGGCTCAGGTCATGATCTCAGGGTCCTGGGATCGAGCCCCACATCGGGCTCTCTGCTGAGCAGGGAGTCTGCTTCCCCCCGCTCAAGCCCCTGCCTCTCTGCCTACTTGTGATCTCTGTCTGTTAAGTAAATAAATAAAATCTTTTTTTAAAAAAAAAGTGTCTTCTCCTTAAAGGAGGAGCACCCAGCCCAAGATTGTGGGAAGGATGGGGAACATGAAAGCTTAGGGTTAGAGATACCAAATGTATGTGGGGTGGTAATGCACACATGAGCTGATGGGAGCCTGTACTAGGGGTGGGGGTGCGGGCATCATGACATAAGTAGATAAATAAGATAAATAAGCAAACGAGACAGTTTGAGGAAACCTCTGACGGGCTGTGAGAACTTCCTGGATGAAGGAGAAAGCAGGAGGAAGTGTGAGAGTCGATAAAATTTCACATCCACACACCTGGGAGAACGTGGGAACTTGGACCAGCGGCAGGCAAGGGAGAGACAGATTTCCATGGAGTCCAGAGCAGAGGGGCTGGCCTACAGGTCACGTGGGTGATGGGAATAGATCCATGGGAGGTAAAAACGTGGTGTTCCTCTTCAAGAAAGCGCACACACGTGGGAGCAGATGGCCCGGTCTGGCTCCCACGCAATACTGACTTGGTTTATTTGGGCTTATTTATCGTCTTTGAGTGGCAGTCCTATTTCCATAGCTACATCGTTTCACTCATACAGTTTATGAGTCTGTGTGTCATTCTCGTTAGTTACGTATAGCTCGTCCTTAGCAGACTAGAAGCTCTCTGAGAGCAGGGATCCTGCCTGACTTTTCTTGAGATCCTCCAGGACGTCTAGAAAAGGGTTTGCACGCAGAGGTGCTAATCAATATTTGGAATGGATGATGAGCCGGATTGCCTACATGCACGATGAGATCTTCCTAAAAAAACGCAAAGCAGGCAAGACAGCCGCCTCTATTTCAGGCATGGAACAATGGGAGATAACACATGAAAAGAATATTTAAAAGACAGCTCAAAACAGGAGCCCCTGGCTGGCTCTGTCTGGGGAGTGTGCAACCCTTGATCTCAAGGTTGTGAATCTGAGACCTGTACTGGGTATAGAGATTACTTTAAATGAAATCATGAAAAAAAAAAAAAGTTCAAAACCAAAAACCAAATTTTTCTTGGAAAAGAGATGAAACAGTAAGACAAAGCAACCAGGAGGCAAGGTCTGGGTGCAGAAGCAGCCAGAGGCAGCGGGGGTCTACCCTCGTCCTGCAATGGAGCTAAAAGAATCCCAGGCCAGGCTGAGATGACCCAGAGTTCCTTTTATGTATTATAGCATAATAAGCCACCCCCAGACTCAGTGGTAGGAAGCAACAACCATTTTATTTTATTTTAAAGATTTTATTTATTTGTCAGAGAGAAAGCACAAGCAGGGGGAGAGGCAGGCAGAGGGAGAAGCAGATTCCCTGCTGAGCAGGAAGCCAGATGCAGGACTTGCTCCCAGGCCTCCGGGATCATAACCTGAGCTGAAGGCAGACGCTTAATCGACTGAGCCACCCAGGCGCCCCAACAACCATTTTATTAGGCACATGGATTCTCTGGGTCAGGAATTCAGAAAGGGCAAAGGAGACAGCCTTCTCCGATCAGCAGTATCTGAGGCTTCAGCTGGGACCACTCACGTAACAGGGAGCGATCTGAATGGCTGGTGGTGGGGACAGCTAGGGCTAGAGAGTCCATTTTCAAGATGGCTTCTTGACTCACATGTCTGGAGCCCAAGCTGGGCTGACTGAACGACAGACTCAGCGTCGACTGTAAACCTCACTAGAAAGTAAGGCGATGTGGGAAGAAATGAGAAAAGACAGACAAAATAACAAGGGTTAGCAAGAATGTAAGAAAATGAGATCTACCACGAGCAGAAGGAAAAAACTTGTCAAATCCCTTGGAATTTAGTAGTATCTACTGCAAATAAATGAAGATTCACGTCCCTTGTAACCTAGCAGTTCCATTTCTAGGTAAAAGTCTTAGAACTTTTATTTATGTGGGTATCTGCCATATTAATTAGATGTTGTTGCATAACAAAGACCACAGTAACTCTATGGTCTCTATCCAAGAAGAAACATGTATTGGCACGCTCACGCTTCTGTAGGTGGGCTGGGGATCAGCTGAGGCAGGTGGTTTGGTTCCCAGCAGCTGGGGTGGTTCACACCCATGTGGAGGGCAGCTGATAGGACCAGAAATCAGCCAGGAGGCCCAGCTCTGACCCATTTGACTCCTCCTTCTAGGCCTAGACAGTGGTCTACACATGTTGTCATGACAATGGCAGACTCGAGAGTGCTAATCTGACCACACAGGTTCTTTCCAAGTGTTTGGTCACATTTTTCCTACTGACATTCCACTGCACGAAGCAAGTCACATAACCAAACAGAAAAATTAGTGGGAATAACGGCAAAGTCACCTGGCAAAGGACATGATTATAGGGATTCTTCCCTAAGAACTGAGTCTTGAATGCAATCTACCACATTCACTGCAAAACTGTTTCTAATGGGATGAGGAGAACCTAAATTGTCATCAGAAAAAAAGAGAATGGGTAAGTAGATTGTGGTGTTTTGGTCCATCCAGCACTGTAGAACAATGAAAATAAACTAGGGCCACCCATATCAACATGTATAAACATCACAAACAAAACGTTGATTGAAAAAAAAACAAGTTGTAGAATGAAATGTGGAGCGTAAAACCTTTATGGCAGGCTTTTAAAAGCAGCAGACTCAGGTACATATTTCTTATGGATATATACACAAATACAGTAAAACTATAAAGCAGGGATAAGAAAGATTGACCTAAGCCTCAGGGTAGTGATTACCCCTGGAGTAAAACAAAGATAAAATGGAATCCTGGAGAGGGGTGCCTGGGTGGCTTAGTGGGTTAAGCCTCTGCCTTCAGCTCAGGTCATGGTCTCAGGGTCCTGGGATCGAGCCCCACATCGGTGTCTCTGCTCAACAGAGAGCCTGCTTCCCCCTCTCTCTCTCTGCCTGCCTCCCTGCCTTCTTGTGATCTCTGTCAAATAAATAAATAAAATCTTAAAAAAAAAAAATGGAATCCTGGAGAGAGATAAAGTGGGCTTCAGCAGTATCTGTGACATTGTGTTTCCTAAAGAAAAGATACAAAGCAAATACAGTAAAATGTCAACATCTGCTAAATCTGGAATGCTGAACGAAAGATGCTTCTTATCTGGTTTGGTGAGGAAAGGGTTACAAACAGCCAATGGAGTAGTGGTTTTGGCCCTGGAAGAGAAACCATTGTCTGCTGCAAACACCTCGGGATTCTGCCCACTCTTTCTGCTGCATGCACTCCCTGTCAACATTTTCAAACTGTTCCAGATATGAATGCAAAGCAAATGCGGCCAAAAATGATGACCAAGAATGAGCAAACCCCATTCATCTCATTCTGATCACTGTGGGCTTCGGTTTTAAATCCCAGACACACAGACCACCTCTGGTTTTGTGACATGTTTGGCTGCTTCATGAGTCAGCAAATCAAGTGACTAGGACACCGAGTCAAGGTGCCTTTGTGGAGGGGACTGAGCGTGGAAGGGTTCATTTCACTCACCTTTCTTTCCTTTTAAGTTCATTGTTTATCAAAGCACCGCAGAGTCTCTCTCCATCCCTAGGGGAAAGGAAAGGACCATTACGGAAAGAAAATGACACCCAGATTTTGTTAGCAAATATTAGGAAAATTTTAAATCATGGCAAGCAGAAACTACCAGCTGGCCTGGAAGCAGAAAGCAGTGTCTATGTGGGAGCTGGAACGTAAGATGACTCCAAAACCCTTCACTTCGAACATATGAGTAAAGCAAAAGTCAGAGAAAGAACATTGATTTTTAAGTAATATAAGGTTCAATACATTTTTCCCTGGTAGAGTTCAATTTACTGTCTTATTTTCACTGTGATATTTCACTCTAAAGATGTTGGTTTGGAATTGAAATGTACATGCGTATGAAAAAACTTATAAAAATCGCACAAGTATAATGTAGCCTTTCTAGATGGTCGCCGCTGTTTCACCACGGACGGCTGTGTTCGTATGTATTAATGGTAAACAGAGGACATGTCTTCAAAACACGCGCTTAATTGAAGAAAATGGGATTGTTGGATGCAAGGCCACGAAGGCGCCAGCCTGCATATTTTCCAGAAGCACTCGGCCCAAAATGAATATCCTTGCCTGTTTGCGATGTTACAGTCAACATTAATCTGAATGGTTTTTCAATGGAATAATTTTAAGGTTATTAGCTGTGATTTGTGAAGTTGCTCACAGTGGTTATTAATAAAGAAAAATCTCTCACCCCTCCTCTTACACCTGTCTGGAATTATTTGGTACATAGATCTCCTTCCGAAGACCTGTTTGAATTTTTCCACTTCTCCCAACTCTCATCCAAGCCATCCTCCTCTCTCCCATGACATTCTGTTCTCCCCGTAGTCCGTCTGGCCTCCTCTTCCTGTCTGTTCTCCATACAACAGCAAGAGGGATCTTTCTCAAATACGAAACTGGTCGCACAATTTCCCCTTGGAAAAAATGTTTCTGGCACTTGCTTCCTATTGCCTTTAAAATCCATAAGATCCCACCTCTCGCTTAGAACTCCAGACTCCCCTCATGCAACTCCCTGCTTCCTCCAGGGACTCCCACCACGGGGTGGTTTTCATTTTCAATCCAAGTTATAAGACAGTTATAGAAGAAAGTGAAAAAATCCTGAGATGTTCGTAATGCCCCCATCTGAAGAAATGTCACACGCCCCTCTTCCCACAGCTTCCATCTCCCCAACGGCAACCACATAACTATTTCAGCTGACTCTTTGGAATTTTGTGCTCACATCTCTAAATAGCATGGTTTTAAGGCTACTTTTCTTTTATTTATTTATTTATTTATTTATTTATTTATTTATTTATTTTTAAGAAACCTCAAAGCCCAACGTGGGCCTTGAGCTCATGACCCCAAGAGCCACATGCTCTACTGACTGAGCCAGCCAGGCACCCCTTTTTTGGTCTTTATTTACTTCATTATTTACTTTAAACTTTTTGAAAATAAAGCTCTAGGTAATCTCTCCACCCGCCATGGGGCTCGAACTCATAACCCTGAGATCAAGAGTTGCACACTCTACTGACCAGGCCACCCAGGTGCCTCCTATTTTTGTTTTAGGTCTACTCTATTGAGTTCTTACTGTGCAAGGTAAGAACTTATTCTTTAATCCCGTTCTCCAGTTCTGTCCCCAACACCATCCTTCCTGTTCCCAATATAGTTACCTGATAATTATGGTTAGACATACCCAGTATTTACATTATTTGGGCTATATAAACATTTTTATAGCTCAGCCATGTGTGTCAAAGGTTCCTCTTCCTTCCTGAATAACTTACTTTCCCTGGAGTTATGAATTGTTATTTTTTTTCCATTGGTTTGATTTTCTTATCACTAAGTCAACCCTACACCCACCTTAGGTGAATAAACATTTTCTCCATACTCTCAATTAAGTACATGTCAGTGTTTATTAAGGTATTTCCCTTGCCCAGACTTCCACATCTGATGAGCAACTGTCATCCTGGGTTCTCCCTCTATTCCCATTTTAGTGTAATTTCAGGAAAAAGCAAAGTAAGGGCATGTGTCCCATTTGTCATCTTGAGCCACACTTCTGGCTTCCTTTCAGATGCTTATTCAGAGGCCCAAGGGCCTTTGCACATGCTGTTCTCTCTTCCTCAAATCTCTTCCTTGCTCTTTGCCTAATCTCTTCTTGTCCCTTAGATCTGAGCTTAAAAATCACTTCTTCAGCAGCATTCCCTGATTTCGCCCAAGCAACCATCCTCATTATACTTTTTCTTAATATCCTGTACTTCTCCTTCATAGCACTTATCACAAGTGTTAGAGCAGTGTGATAGCAATGGAAATATTAATTTTTTTCCCTCCACAACTTATACATGACCTTTTCCCTAATCAGACCATCCATTTATTCAAGGAGAGTGGGATTTGTATAGAGGGAGTGACAAGAGCAGGAAACATTTCACGCTCAGTTTTTCAACTTCCAATAGAAGCTTGTAAGAATTAAAAGGGCAAGTCATGCGGATGCACGTGGAGAGCAGAGCTGATGCTGTAGCCTGGGGACCGGGTAAGGAGGAAAATTGGGGTTGGCATAGGGACCCTGGCCAAGCATCATCCTTGGCCAGCACTGGGGAGCCCTGGGAGGGAGCAGAGACATTCAGTCCTGGGTGTACTTCACATATTTGGCAATCTGTTGCTAATATTCACTAGTACATAAGCCAATATATAGATGAAAAATGTAAAAGATTCCCTTTTATTATCAAAATTATCGAGGGTATGAAACTGCTTGCAGTGAATAGAAATTACAGTACAAGCCAGTCACTAACTCATTCTACCAACTGCCAAAACATTTGTTGGGTTGTGACAGTTGGTGTGCCTCTGTGTTTGAGGCAGCTGTCACTGTCTGAGGAAGATTCTCCAGGCACCCCAGGCCACCTCCCCTGGGCCTCCATCTGATTTCAGTTGCAGCTGACGTAGCTGGCTTCCATGCACACCATCAGCAGCCCAACACAAGTGTCTGCTAATCTCTTCTCTTTTCTGCCTGGAAGTACCCAACAGCAAACACCCCGGGGGCCAACCTCGAACAATGGTAACCAGACATCAACGGGAAACAGTGCCCTCAGACTCCCATCCTTTGGGAAGACAATTTTGAGGCACGTTCTACATGGTTTCTCAAAGGGTCTCTCGAGGGATCTGGCATCAATTGCCCACAGTGGAAACCAGCACCGTCACATGTCAGCTGTTGACATCCCTTCCTTTCCCATCTCATTCCCACTCCCATCCTCTTGCCTTCTGGAGTCGACTTCCAAATGCACTCCCAGTACCCAGTGCAGCATCCTTGTTTCAGGCTCCATTTTGGAGAGAAACCCAAGCTCACATGCTCTCTGAATTATTTCCTGGAATGAGTCATGGCTCAAGATTGGGTATTGCAGGAAACCTTTCAATGACTTCCCTCTTGCAGTGATAATAATTAGGAGAGTGGAGACCCTGTGAGGACTTGAGTGGTGGTTCACACAGAGGCCCTCTCTCAGCTCAGCTGTGTAGTGCTCCCCTCCCCAGGAAGAACTTAAGAACTGGAGTGATGGATATATTCCTGAAATGGTGGGAGGAAACCTTCACAATGAATATGTATATGTTTATCAAATCACAGTGACATACGCTTCACATACCTTACCATTTTGCATGTTAATTATACCTCAATAAAGCTGAATTAAAAAAAAAAAAGGAGGGAGGCTTTAGGAACTGGAGGCAACTTTCCAACACCTGAAATAAATAATCTAAAATCCAAAGCAAGTTCCAATAATCTGCACTCAAAGCCAGAAAAACAGCCTCAGTACTCTGGTGCATGGGGTTTCTGCGACAAACCACATGTTCTGGTCCACATGAATAAATAAAATTTATTCAATTTTACTTCATACTGTCATTACTCTTATATTATTTTGCAACTGACATGAAAATAATCCCGTAGTTGAGTAGTCAGCGCAGTCATACTAGTGGACCTGAGGGTGATGGGTCCTGCCTGCAGACTTTTATCTCCATTCCTGGATAGGCCTGCACGGGTCTCTGGATAAACCAGCAGAAACAAGAAGGGTCAGTCAGTGAAAGACTATTATCATATGATCTCGTTGATGTGTGGAATTTAAGAAACAAAACAGAGGATCATAAGGGAAGAGAAGAAAAAATGAAACAAGATGAAACCAGAGAGAGAGACAAACCATAAGAAACTGGTTTTTTTTCACTTTTTAAAAATTAATTTTGTTAATTAACATATAATGTATTATTTGCCCCAGGGGTACAGGTCTGTCAGGCTTGCACACTTCACAGCACTCACCATAGCACATGCTCTCCCAAGGTCCCTAGCCCAACCACCCTCTCCCTACCCACTTCCCCCCCACAACCCTCAGTTTATTTTGTGAGATTAAGAGTCTGATGGTTTGTCTCCCTCCCGATCCCATCTTGTTTGATTTATTCCTTCCCTTCCCCCCAAGCCCCCCACTTTGTCTTTCAAATTCCTCATATCAGGGAGATCATATGATAACTGTCTTTCTCTGATTGGCTTATTTTGCTAAGCATAATACCCTCTAGTTCCATCCACGTCATTGCAAATGGCAAAATTTCATTTCTTTTGATGGCTGCATAGTGTTCCACTATATATATATATATATATATATATATATATATATATATATCCATAAGAGACTCTTAATTAGAGGACACAAATGGAGGGTTGCTGGAGGGGAGAGGAGTGGGGGTTGGGGTAAGAGGGTGATGGGCATTAAGGAGGCATTAATGTAATGAACACTGGGTGTTCTACGCAGCTGACGAACCACTAAACCCTACCTCTGAAACTAATACTACACTGTAAGTTAATTAACTGAATTTAATTAAAAAAAAAACAACAGAAGATCACCTCTCCATTCCTAAGACTGTCAAGCCCCATCCAAATGTGGACATGTGGAATTCACCCACCCCACCCTTTTCAGTGCCTCTTCAGAAATAGAAGTCCAGGCTTTGTTTCAGTTTTTTGCTGCTATGTAAAAAAAATCCCAAAACCCATGAGTTAAAACAAACATTTATTATGATTTCTGATGGCTGTGAGGACTGACTGGTCTCATCTGGATAGTTCTCAATTGTGGTCCCTCATGGGGTTACAGTAGAATGTCAGCTGGGGCTAGTCGTCCAAAAGCTCGACTGGTGGGACATCCAAGATGGCTTCTTTACCACATGTCTGTTTCCTAGCCTGGGATGTTTGGAAGAAATGGAGGTTGTCCAGGCATTTTTCTTCCCATGGGGACTCCCCATGTACTAGCTCAAGCTTTCTTGCAGCATGGTGGACTGAGGTCAATGACTGGTTTGTCTTACAGAGAGCCTTCCATGAGACCAGGAGAAAGACTTCTTCTAGAAGTTTAAAAGCCACACCATGTGACTTCTGCCATATCCTCTTGCTCACTAGCAGCTCATAGGTTAGCCAGATTTAAGGTGAGAGGATGACCAAAAGAATCTGAATCCTGGGAGACCCAGTTCATTGGGAGCCATCTTTTAGAGACTTCCTACCACAGGTCTGGATATTAGAGGGTGAGAAAGGAACTTGGGGAAGACCAGACAATAGTCAAACCCACCCACTTTACTTAAATATCTATTTATTTGTGTGATCATGTGTTTGATGAATTCTACCAAGACCAGGGGTTGGCAAACATTTTCTGCAAAGGGCTGTGAAGTAAAAACGTTAGGTTTTGGGAGCCATGCATCTCTATCACACTTATTCAGCTCTGCCCTTCTGTGTAAAAGCAACTGAAAACAATAAATAAATGGGCAAGTGGGGCTATGCAAAATAAAACTTTATTTACGAACACTAAAATTTGAATTTCTTATGATTTTCCTGTACTGTAAAGTACTGCACTTCTTTTGATTATAGTTTTCAATTATTTACAAATGTAAAAGCCATTCTTAGCTGGTAGGCAGAACAGAAACAGTCGGCCAGCCAGGTTTGGCCCAGGGGCTATAATTTGCCAACCCCTGGTCTAGACTGAGGCAGGGACTGTGTCTGCCTTATCCACCCTTATAAGCCCTGTATTTAGTACATCCCAGCAGTGCTCAGTAAATATTTATTGAATGAATAGTTGATTTATACACAAATTATAACACCTTGAAATAAGAATTTCTCTGAGAAGTCTTTAGTGTTCACCCTCTACATCAATCTCCTCCACTTAAAACCTGGGTCAAAAATTACACTTGCAGCTTTATTGACATTTTGCTGGAAATATAGCAGTATCAGTACACCCAAGCTCACTTACCCATGCTAACTGTGCCCGGAGCACCTTCAATAATCTGAGATTACAATACTGCAGAGTGATGGAGGCTCCCTGCTTCTCAGCTTCTCAGAGAGAGGCAAACGCAGGCCGTGAATCGGTGGTCTCATGACTCGAGACACACATCAATCACTACGTAAATGCTGACATTATGTCGCCGTAGCATCCTGGAATTGTCCAAAGTTGTCCTGGAGGCTCTTGCTCACATCCCTTCATTTTCCAGCCATCCTGCTGGACATCCCTGCCAGTGAGGCCCTAACCATAGGACCTGCTGTCAAACCCGTGGTCTCTTCCCTTTCTGCATTCCATCCTGCGGCTCCTCCTTCCTTGTCGCTGCCCTGACTTCCTTGTTTCCATTAAGGGTACAATCAGTCCCCAGTCCCTGAGGCGCAAAACTTTGGAATTTCCTTTTTCCTCTCTCTCTCCCCCATTATCCCATCTTCTCATTGCTACAGGTCCAATGCAGATCCTAATCATTCTGGTCTAGACTCTAGACCAATATAATCTCCAAAGCTCCCCCCCTTCCCACCCTCCCCACTCACCGCACATGCACCTTTTGCTTCTTCTACCTCCAACACAATCTATAGATGCAAAACTAGGAGTAACCCTCAAATGACACTTAATAGTTACTGCCTTTCTTCTTAATCATTCGAGTAGCAAGCTTCTTTTTTTTTTTTTTTAAGATTTTATTTATTTATTTGACACACAGAGATCACAAGTAGGCAGAGAGGCAGGCGGAGAGAGGAGGGGAAGCAGGCTCCCTGTTAAGCAGAGAGCCCAATGCGGGGCTTGATCCCAGGATCTTGAGATCATGACCTGAGCTGAAGGCAGAGGCTTTAACTCACTGAGCCACCCAGGCACCCCGAGAAGCAAGCTTCTTAAAGTATAAATCTCATCATGTCACTTGCTTGCTCTGAAACTTTTAATGGTTGTCCACTGCCAACCAAAGTGAACCTCCTCCCTGGCCTAACATTCAAGCACTTCTAACCAAACATTCTAGCCTCATCCATCATAGAGTGTCTACCTTTTCAGCAAAGCGGGAGTGGGACAGACTGCCTGTCTCCCAATACTTATTCTTTCCTTTTTCCTTAGAAATATCACACTTGGCTTTTATTCAGGCATAGGGCCACTGCATTTTCCAGCCTGCCTTGCAGTTAGGCATGTCTACTAGACAAAGTTCTGTCAAACAGGATGAGAGAAGAAATGTTGTGTGCATCTTGTGAGAAGTATCCTTAAATGGTAGAGGGCATGCCATTTTCCTGTCTCTTCCATCCAGTTAGGCAGAATGTGGGTGTGATGCCTGGACCTGGGCAGCCATCTTGGGCTGCAAACTAGAAACCACAGATGAAGTGTGGCCACATAACATGATGGAAAGAGCCTGGGTCTTTGATGCTCACGGTCATCCTACCAACCCTGAACTCTCAACTCCTTTGTATGAGAAAAAAAGAAACTTCTAACTTGCTTAAGCCATGGCGGTGTTGTCTATTCTTTTGTTTTATCTCTTGCAGGTAAACCAATCACAAGAATGTCAGGGGTTCCTCCTCATTTTCTCAGAATTTGTCGTTCTTGTCTCCAGGTCTCTCTGTTGTTCCCTCTGGCCATTGTACCCACCACTTTTTAACCCCCATTCCCTTCTGCTATGCATATCTCTACATTTACAATCAACCCATTGTCAAGGCCCACCTCCAGTGTCTTCTCTGTGAGACCTTCCTAATTCTTCAGTCATTAGAGTCTCCCACTCCATAGGTTCCTCCAGAACTTTTAATTCCCTTATGCAATGCCGTTCTTCCTAGGGGTCATCTATAAACTAATCTTACCCCATGACCCGCCTTTTCTATGTGAGGGTGGACAGCCACCTCTGATAAGTTAGTATTTGTTGAGACACAATTCCAGGGTTGGTAGAGCTCAGAGTGACTCTCCTTTCTTTGGGAACTCCCACTCCCCACACCCACTCCCATGACCTCTGTCAACATGCTTTACTCTATGCCTGCTCAGGGCCCTGGTTGACTGGACACATGATGGACACCTTTCTCTTAGCTGACCCAGTCAGATTCTCTCTTCTGAGAAATGGAAGTAGAATTCGGGGGGAGCACGTAATCTTGAGAGCTGTGGGCAGCCATGTTCTACCACAGGAGCTGGGGAAGTGGTCAGGGTCGGTCTGCAGTATGAGGAGAGGTACATAAGAGATGGAGAAAGGTTCTGATGACTTTCCACCTTCTTGGAATTTTATTTAACTGAAATTGTTGGAAGGTGACAGATTAGTTAGTGGCCAAGTAAGAGAACACATCAGCGCTACCAATTTGGTGGAACAACCACATGGGTTAATAATTTCACAGACTTCTTTTTCTTTCTCCCTAGGCCCAAATTGTGCCCTCCTTTGGCTTTCTGTGACATTTGTTATCTGTGGCACTCACATGACATTTATCAATTATTTACTGCCTTATTTGGTTAGTCTCCATGTACAAATCTAGCTCATAAATTGGAGAGGGGCACAGCTCTCTTACTTATCCTCCTGTTCCCAAAAGCTCAATGAATCCATTGGTGTGTTAGCTTTTCGCTATTTGCATTGGGAATAAACCAAGCGATCACAGGCCAGTGTTTGTTACCCAAATTAGATTAATACCAAGATTGAATTTATTCATAATTTAATTTGGTGGGAAACGAACTCCACAGATGGAAAGAAAGAGAGAGAATGCTTTATTTTCTGCACTACCTAAAAATCCTGACCCAAAAGAGAAGGAAAAACCAGAAGTAAGAAGGTTGAGGAAAAATAAGTTTCAGAAAGTGAATCACTTCAGGCTCTAACGTGAAATTCACTCTCAAGTGTGCTGTGCAATGGAACACGTATTCTTCTGTTTTCTAAGTTCAGCAGACAGCTGGAAACCCACACAGGATGCCAAACTATGTGACCTACATTTGCAGCTAGACAGCATTTGCTAAAATGAAATCTAAGGTTTAGAATCTTTTAGTTTAAATTTCCTTGGGAGTATTATGTGTACTTGATAATGGGGTAACAGATGATTTACTCTGTTTTCTTCCGGGTATTTAAAACCATGTTACTCTTATCTCTCCACTCATTGAAAAAAAAAAAAAAAAACCCAAAAAACAAAAAAACAAACAAAAACAAAAACACCTCCCTTTTGAAGGACTTTTGTCAGGTATGAAATATTAATCTATTGAAAGCTTAACCACACGTCTGCATCTTTGGAATGAAGGTAAAATCCTAAAATGAATGGAACCTCTTGCATTTTGGCTTACACTTGCTTTTTGCTAGCATGGGTGAAATAAATAAGGCTAAATAATTAATATTGCAGTCAGATTCATTTTCTCTTCAGGCAAATGGTCTGTGAGTACATTTTCAGAAGCCAAAAGCAAATGTTTTAAGGGGAACTCCACATTTCCACAGGATTCCCTGAACAGGCTGACTCACATTTAGCAGCTGACTCCTTAAAGAGGGCACAGAGTTCGTTTTGATGATTGTGGTAACCGTGGAGGTGGGCGGGAAACTTTTTCTGAGGCCTGATCAGGGAGGGACTTCCCTTAAAAATCAAGATCTGTTCTGCCTCTCAATCCCCAAACCGAGCAAGGGCAGCCTCAACCTGAAATGACCACGTTCCCCTGCAGCCTGTAGAGGCAACTCACTGAGAGCCTTTTATTTTCCTGCATGTCCAGGAGAACTTAACAAGCTCTTCCCACATTTCCATGGCTTTCATTTCTGTCTGGAATGTTTTTCTACTCCTCTTTATTATTTCTTCCCCGCTCCCCCCATTCATCCAACTAACATGGTAAGATCTGTCTCAAAGGCCATTTCTTCAGGAAGTCTTCACCAACCCACCAAAATGAATCATTTTCTTCAGTGTCACCCACAGTTCTGTTCTCCTATCTACAACTCTTACAAATCACAAAACATTAGTAAATGTTCTGTCCCCTTTCCCCAGGGGGCTGCCGCTCCCCCAGTGTATGAACTCCCTTTGTGATGTGGCCCTGGTTTACTCCTGTTTGCATCTCAGTGCCCAGACTAGGCAGAGTTTAACAAGCTGCAGAATAAAAGTTCGTTGCTTTATGACATCAATTATGCACTCTCCCTCCTCTCTCTTCCCTGGCTCTTTTTTCTATGTCTATAAACATGCTCAAGTGTCTTGTTTTTTTTTTTAAACTATCCATGGTAAGAATGAAATCTTGGGATTTGCAACAACATGGTTGGACCTCGAGAGTATCATGCTAAGTGAAATAAGTCAGTCAGAGAAAGACAAACACCATATGATTTCACTCATGTGGAATTTAAGAAACAACAACAACAAAATAGATAAACAAAGAAAAAAAGAGACAAAAAGAAAAAAGAAAAAAAAACCCAGACAAATAAATGCAGAGAACAAATGAGCAGTTTCCAGAGGTTGGGTGGATGGGGGAGGAATGAGATAGATAAAGCAGATTAAGAATACACATCTTTTTTTTTTAATTTTTTATTTTTTTTATAAACATATAATGTATTATTAGCCCCAGGGTTACAGGTCTGTGAATCACCAGGTTTACACACTTCATAGCACTCACCATAGCACATACCCTCCCCAATGTCCATAACCCCACCACCCTCTCCCTACCCCCCAACCCCTGCCACCCTCAGTTTGTTTTGTGACATTAAGAGTCTCTTATGGTTTGTCTCCCTCCTGATCCCATCATGTTTCATCTATTCTTTTCCTACCCCCCAAACTCCCCATGTTGCATCTCCACTTCCTCATATCAGGGAGATCATATGATAGCTGTCTTTCTCTGATTGACTTATTTCTCTACGCATAATACCCTCTAGTTCCATCCACATCGTCGCAAATGGCAAGATTTCATTTCTTTTGATGGCTGCATAGTATTCCATTGTATACATATATCACAACTTCTTTATCCATTCATCTGTTGATGGACATCTAGGTTCTCTCCGTAGTTTGGCTATTGTGGACATTGCTGCTATAAACATTCGGGTGCACGTGCCCCTTCAGATCACTATGTTTGTATCTTTAGGGTAAATACCCA